TTTAAGGCAATTGGGGTTAAGTGACTTGCCCAGGGTCACTCAGCTAGTAAGTGTTAAGTGTTTTGTCTGAGGTCGGATTTGAACACAGGTCGTCCTGACTTCAGGCCCCCGGTGCTCTATCCACTGTGCCATCTAGCTGCCCCTTTTATAGAGGAGATGTCACCTGAGCTGAGTCTTGGAAGAAGAAAAGAATTTTCAACAGACCACCCCCGTAAGACTCTATTGATAACCAGTGCTTCCAGGTTTGCAGAGCACTTCTTCAATTTAGTCTTATCATTCGGTCACAATATGCCTAGTAACACACTTAATTGTGTGCATCAGTTCTCTATTAGTTCACAGACTCCCTGAAGGTAGGGGCTATTTTTCATCTTTGCATTCTCAGCACCAAGTACATGAAGTGCACTATACCTGGATTCAAGACAAAGAGGATGGTCTCCCAGAAGGGACAGAAGAAAGGGCAGGTTGAGAACAGAGAACAAAGAGAAGTGGAAGGAAATGAGGATTGGCTGATAGGCTAGAGCCAGTTCAAAGAGGGCTCAAATACTGTGCTGAAATGAAGCCATAAGTCACAGGCTACTTTTAACTACTAAGCATTTCATTTATTTATTGTTATTAAGACCTTTCAGTCATGTCTAACTCTTGGTGACCCCATTTGGGGTTTTCTTGGCAAAGATGCTGGAGTGGCTTGCCATTTCCTTCTCTAGCTCATTTTATAGATGAGGAAATTGAGGCAAACAGGATTAAGTGACTTGCTGCCGAGGGTCACACAGCTAGGAAACGTTTGGGGTTAGATTTGAACTCAGGTCATCCTGATTCCAGGCCCAGCATTCTATCTGCTGTACCACTTAGCTGCCTCAGTAGACTTCAGAGCTGGAAAGACTTGGAAGGGAAATGTCAGAGCTGGAAGAGACCATCTACTCCAACCCCCTCATTTTACAATCTCATCCTCGCAACTAGACTTGTTCTGCTTCTCTAGTCCTCCAAAGTGTAGCCAAGCACCAAGGTAGTAGTAATAGCAACAATAACCAACTAAATTAAAAGAGTTTTCCATCCTGATTGTCCAGAATAGCCTTCAGATGCCACCCTCCCCATTCACCCTGAACACACACCCACACACACCCACACACACACCCAGTGACTCAGGACAACTTGGCCAAAGCTTCTACCTTCTTTCTGCAGTCAGGTTTCTCTTTCTGGGCTTTTGTCTCCCATTGCAAGAAGCAGATCACACAGACCAGAGCTGTCTAATAGCCCCAAATGTACTCCATGAATCATTGATGTGGTATCATGAAGACACAGACACACATACGAGTGCACATGCATGTGCATGTTCACACACACACACACACAACATAATTCAGAAATGCAATAGCCTCCAAGCCATTTCTTCCACCTATGCTATCATACCCATAAGCAACCCCAACCTCAGCCTCAGACCCATTGAACCACTGCCAATATGCGTAGATCTTGTCATGTCATTGCTCTACTCAACAGTCATTAGTGGGGGAAGCTAGGTGGTGCAGTGAATAGAGCACTAGAGGACCAGTCCTGGATTCAGGAAGACCTGAGTTCAAATCCAGCCTCAGACATATAACACTCACTAACTGTGTGACCATGGGCAAGTCACTTAACCCCATTGCCTAACCAAAACAACAACAACAAAAAACAATCATCGATGGCTCTCTGTTCCTCATGAGAAAAGTTCAGATTCATCTGTCTGGAGTTCACAATTCAGTGCCAAGCTTCCTTTCCAGTTTTCTCACAGGCCCCTTAATTTGCTCTACATTCCAGTCAAACTGTATATAACTTTCTATTCTTTGCATATATCCTGTGTTCTGTTTTCCCACTTCTACTTCTTTGCCCAAACTGGTCTCTATGCCTAGAAAAGCCTCCTTCTCCATCATTGCCCATTGAAATTCTACCCATCCTTTCTAAACCAGCCCAAATGCCTCCTCTTCCTCCAGGAAACCTACCTTGATCTTCTATAATGACCTCCCCCTAAGACTTCACTTAGTACTTTGCTTGTATTTTTCTAATGCTCTTAGCTATAAACTATTATAAACACTATTATAAAATATCAATGTTTGTCTCTCATCTTTCTACTAGACTGCAAGCATGGAGCTCTACATACAGTAGGCAATTAACAAATGCCCCCTTTTGAAATCCAGAATTCATAAACTGATAAAAAAAAATTCCCCCTCCCAGAGATAATTGCTTTTGAAAATGTTTATTGATATCTTGTTTTTCCATCACCTTCATTGCCCAATAGATAGTTGCATTTTATAGAAGATCTCCCAAAGTCAAAAGGCCTTCAAGAGCTAAAGAAATGAAATTTTAAAAGTGGGATTTGAGGTAAGTAACTGAGGCAGGCAGTAGTGGGTAGGCATATCACATTATGCCCCATAAGCAGCTGTTTATTCTGTCTACTCCCCATCATTACATAAAGGTGAAATCAATGCCAGTGACAGAAAGGTTCAGGTGTCCCCGACTCCCACTCTTCTCCCACTCTTCCCCTGCAGCCCAGGACCTTTCCTAGCCTAACCCTGGGAAGTTGATGAACTAGCCCAGCTCAGTCTCAACTCTAATTCTCCTAAGGGGAGTAAAGATGTCAATCAGGCTCCATCTGGCCGAAATCTGGATCCCCTCCACACTTGGGGCTGAGAATTTCCTGGGCTCAGACTAACTCCACAGCATCTGGTCCATGATATAGAGCATTTCTCCAGATACTAGTATCCCTGGCGAGGCAGGCCACAACCTTTGGCAGAAAATGCTGAACAGTTTGGAAATATAAACTTTTCCTGTTATGGCCAGGGCTTAGGCAATGTACAAGTTCCTCTGGACTGAACCCCCCTTTTCCCCTTCCCTGCCCTGAGCCACTAGGAAGCTCCACCCTCTTGATACCTTCTATTTTCCCCTATTAATGCTGTCGAGCTATTCCAAATCTGCATTTGACTGCTCCAAGTACTTTCACCATCCAGTGTCTACACTATGTGATTTCGATTCTCACAAGATGCAATGGTACTGAGGAAAAATTACATTTGATGAAAGGATCACATTCAATGTCTGACACAATTTGTGTGACCTTGGCCAAATCACCTCCCTGGGCCTCAGTTTCCTCATCTGTAAAATGAAAGGGATTGCACTTAGATGACTTTTATAATCCCTTCCAGCTCTAAAACTATGATCCTTAGGTATCTTGTGCCCATTTTACAAATAAGGAAACTGAAGCCAAGAGATAAGTAATTGAATTACAACAGTTGATATTTCTACAACCCAAAGTGCTCTCCTAGTAACAACCCTGTGAGATGCATAGGGAAGATAAGGATTATCATCTCTGTTTTATCAGTGAAGAACCTGGGGCCCAGAAACTAAGATAATTTGAACAAGTTTATGCAGCTAATCGTTGGCAGAGAGAGGGCTTGAAATGGGGGCTTTGGACTCCTCAATATTATAGCACTTTACATGGAGAGTCATGGAAAATCAGAGATGAAGGGGACCTGCAAGGCCATTCACTCCAACCCCTTCATTTTACAGTTAAGGAAACTGAAGCCCAGAGGGGGAAATATCCCTGCCTAAGGTCACTGTGGAGTTCCTGAAAGAACTGGAATTAAAACTCAGATCTCCTGATTTCACTACAAAGAATGACTCCTGAGAAATGCTAAACATACGGATCTCTGAAATACTCTCTACTCAGTTAGCTATTTTTCACTCCCATTCCAGACTGGGTAGGGAAGGGTATGCACTGTGCTTCCTTATTCTTAAAGGAAAGTGAAGGAAATAAGCTTTATTATTATTATGTCATTTGATCCTCACAACAATCCTGAGAGGTAGGTGATGTTATTAACCTTATTTTACAGTTGAGGCAAGCAGAGGATAAGTAAGTGCCCAGGATCACACAACTAATAAGTGTCTGAGATCAGATTTGAATTCAGGTCTTCCTGACTCCAGGCCCAGCAATCTATCTGCCCCTGAGGGTTTCATCCTATATTTAAAGGGATGGAATTAGCTTTCTGATCTTAGCAGCTGAATTGTCTTTCTCTTCTTCCCTCCTAGTTACTATAGGATATACTGGGAGGGCATGTGGTTAATTAGACAAAGCAAGGGGCTAGCGATCAAGAGATTTAATTTCTTATCTCTAATCCTCTCCAGTGGTGTTAGTCAAATTATTTCTATTCCCTGAACCTCAGTTTCTCCAACTGTAAAATGAGGGGGCTGGATCAGATGATCCTTAGTATCTATTCTGGTTCTAACATTTTAAGCTAAGCTCTAAGGGTTATCCAGCACTAAAATTCTTTATACAGGGCCATAGAACTTAGAGCCGAAAGGGAACCTTGACATGTAATCCATTACCTTTGTTCAACACATTGAACAGATGAGGAAAGGGAGGACCAGCAAAATTGTGGCTTATACAAAACGTATGGGTAGCAGAGGAGAGCTGGGATTCAAACCCAAGTCTTCTGACTCAAAACCCATGTTTGGTCCACCCTATCCTGTGTTCTCCGTTCTAAAGTCCCTCCCAGTCCTACCATGCAATGTTCTTTGTTCTAACATTCTCCTGACAAGGACAGGCTGCTCTAAGATCCCTTCCAGTGCTAACGCTCAAACGTTCTAACATTCTCCTGCTCCGATAGTGTCTGTTCTAAGGTCCCTCCCTCTAAGCTTCTCCCCGCTGTAACAGTCTCTGAGGGTAATAGGTCCAGAGCTAATGTTTATGGCTCTAAATAGTCCCCGCCGGAATGCCTATTTTCCACCCCAGATGTGGGTTCTAACAACAGCTCCATCCCAGCCCTGGATGCAAATGCAGGGGGCCATGGCAAGGGGAAGGGGGCCGTGAAGTTTCCTCCTTAGTCTCTCCCTCAGACGTGGCAGCTAGGGGGCCCTGGGAGTGGGGTCTGCAGGGTTCCAGGGGCCGGCAGCGGGGACCCGGGGATCCGCAGTCCTCAGTTCCTTCCCTCTCCCATTCACCCAGCCACCCCCAGCTCCCGGCTCCCCGCGCTCACTTTAGGCTTGTCAAATACTGGCGCTGGGCTCATGGTGACCGCCTGCACTCGGTGCGTCCGTCAGTTCGTCCAGAACTCTCCAGGGGGTGATCCCCGTCTCGACCTTGTGAGCAGCCACCCCAGTTTTAACCCGGCTCACGAGCTCCGGCCCGCCCCCGGCCCAGCCTGGGCCCCGCCTCCTCCACGCCCCCTACATACCGGCTCCTCGGCTCTCTTTTTTCCCCCCTCGTCCCAGCCCCTTGGTCAGGACGCTCCCTCCCTAGCTGGCTCCGGCAGCCAGCTGTGAGTGGAGCTCCCAGCAGTTCCCACCCCGCATCCTCCTGCTTCTCGCGTCTGGAAGAAGTCACTGACTCTCAGTCTTACTGATACCCCAAGGTTTCCAGGAATTCAACTTCTGATCGGGCTTCCGGGACCAGGGCCAGGGCTAAGGCCACGTGGGTCTACGGGAGAAACTCCTGAAGATGATGTCCCCTATACAGAAACAGTGGCATACCTGCTGAGAGAGTAGAACAGTGTAGCCGAAGGGCCCTGGACTGCAAGCTAGACCAGCGTTGGGCTCCTGGCCCTGCCATTAATGTGCTATCTGTGCTTTGACAATCCCTGAGCCTTCAGTTTCCTCTACTGACAAAGGAGATGGTTGAAGACCATCTCTAAGGGCGCTTCTTAGCTCCAGATCCTATTATTAGAACCACGATTGTCAGACCTTTAAGCAGGATATCCTTTTCCCCCCAAGCCCTCTCATTTTGCGGTTGATGATAGTGGGAACATGGCTTGCCCAAGATGTAGAACTAACAGTCAAATTCGTACCCAGGACTTCTGTCACCAAAACCAATACTCTTTCCTCTATACGTGCCTTTGTTTGTATCCCCAGTGCTTAGCACGGTGACAGCACATAGTAGGTACAAAACATGTTTATGTTTAGTGACTGACTGACTAGACCACACAGCCACAGGTAGCATTAGTAAAAGCCCTACTTCATAGACAAGATTCAGTCAAGTTTGTTTTAGGATCACCAACCTTAAGGATTAATGCTCTTTAGGTCCAGCTAACCTGGCCTGTCTGTTCATGTGCAAAATTTCAAATCCCATCTTCAGAACTTTGCAAAAGCTGTCCTCACTTCCAGAGCTGACATTCCATATTCTATGAAATCTGATTAAAATGCAGAGAATGGTGGTGTGGTGGAAAAAATTTTGAACTTGATTTCTAGACAGTATTAATAATGATTCACATTCCTAGTGGCTTTGACGTTATAAAATCATTGCAAAGCACTTAATGGCTCCAGTTAAAGAACACTGATAAGCTGGAGTTGGGGTGGGGGGAGGAGAGTGGAGTGGGGTGGAGTAGGGATTGGGCTGGGGCCCAAGCAATTAGGATGGAGAGAGAGGGCCTTGGGTCAGGTTGTATAGATTGAAGTTAAAGAATCTGGGGGTATGATGTTTGCCCTTCCTTCTCAAAGTGGACCATGACATCAGAAAGGTGATGTCATGATTTGCAAGTGAATTGGATTTAAGTGAGGGAGGGCTGTACAAAGTCACCAGCCTCACTCTCTCTACTGAAGCCATTTGGGTCCAGTGGCAAGATATAGATCAGAGTGAAGAGAAGGCCCTGCAGAGAAGATTCAAAGGGGACCTGATAGCTGTCTTCAAATATTTGCAGGGCTGGCATGTGAAAGAAGGATTTGAGTTGTTTTATTTGGCCCCAGAGGGCAGAATCAGGAGAAATGAGTGGAAGTACAAAGAGGCAAATTGAGGCTTGAGGTCAGAAAAAAATTCCTAACAGTATTTTTGAAGTAGACTTGTCCTTCATTCAATGAGGAAACTCCCAGTGGGGAGAGTTTCAACCCATGAAGATTAATACCTGCTTGAGGCAAATTAAATCCCTAGAGGTCACTGAGAGGTTAAAGGATTTGCCAGGGGTCACACCACCTCTAAGTGTCCAAGGCAGGACTTGAGCCCTGGTCTTCCTGACTCTATGCAATATGCCAGGCAGCTTCTCTCCCTAACAGTTAGAATTATCCCAAAGTGGAATGGGCTGCCTTGGGACCTGGTGAGTCCTAGCTCAATGGAGGTCTTGAAGCAGGGGCTAAATGACCACTTGTCAGGTGTGCTATAGCGGGATTTCTTTACTGGTATAATTGGATTAGGTGGATGTTGAGGCCTCTTCCCACTCCAAATTCTGTGTAAGTCCTTACTTTAGCTAATCATCTGACCCCATGACCAAGGTAGGACTTTTATTTTCTTCATTTCAGAGATGAGGAAAGTGAGCAAATAAGTATCCCTCTGGGGCTCAGTTTCCTCCTTTGTAAAATGAAGGGGGTTGAACTCAATTTCTAAGGTCCTTTCCAGCTTTCAATCCTATTTGGTGTGCCTTGAATTCACCCAGCTAATAAGTAGGAGCTGGATTAGGACTCAAGACTCCTTGGCCTCAGCATGCTGCACCCTAGCTAACTTCCTCCCTAGACAAAGGATTTCACCAGGGCCCTTCTCATTCTGAATCAAGGTGTAGTGGATTGGTGTAGCTGGAGGGAGGAGAGGGAGATGGGCCCCTGAGGTCCTGGTCGGCTGTCAGCAGAAGAGAGAACCTAAGAAGAGTCAGGGGTACCTTTGTACTCCCTCTCCCCTCTTTCCTCTCGTGTCACTCAAAAAAATCCCCACAGCAACCACCGAGAAACTGAACAAGAATTTCAAGTAGAACTTCCCCAGTTTGTTGGGGTGAGAGGTTCACAAAGGCAGGCCTTGGCTCAGATTAGGAGCCAAGTGCTCAGAGGGGAGGGAGGGCAGAGGAAGCAAGGATTTCCCCCAATTCTTCCTGATATTAACATGAGTGACTACCCACACCCTGTTCTGAGGTGGGTCATTGCTGTTGTCCTGCATCACTGCCTTCCCCAGTCCAGCTGGCCTTGGCAGCTGGTGTTACAGGCTTTGACAATTAAAGAACGAACAGAATTCTTTCTCCTCTCCCATGGCAGCTGAGGGCATTGTATCACCTGTACTAGGGGAAGAAAAAAGATGTAGTAGAAATAGTACTCATTCATTCCACAGTCACTTATTAAGCTTATATTAAGCAGTGTTAAGACTGCTGCACAGGGCATTAGGAGAAATACAAGGTTTACATAAGTTACAGCTTTTGCCCCTCCTGGAGCTCATAGCCTAATAAGTGAGTAAGACAGAAAGCCCATCACTGTAATCCACAACACTACAGTATAAAAGAAAGAAAGGTCTAAAGTCCTGTGAGTTGCAAAGGATCTTAGCTCTAGAGTGGGAGTTGTAAGGACCCTCAGAGGCCATTTGGGCCAACCCCATCACTTTACAGATGGGGAAACTGAGGCCCAAGGAGCTTAGGTGACTTGTCTATTATCACTCAGCTGTGAGTCCACAGAGTGTCCAGAGGTTCCTGCCCCAAAGCCTCCCAGATCTTCCTGCTGAAGGAGGACTGAGTCTGACTGATTGATACCTGAAGGTTTCATCTTGAAACCTTTACCCTTAAAAGTATCAGGGATAGGATATGAGCCCTGGTCCTCTGACTTTGGAGCCAGTGACTCAATGATAATGAAGGGCAAGGTGGAGGCTTTAGCATTTGAGTAGGGATTTCAAGTTAGCCAACCAGCACTTATTAAGCATTTACTACATGCCACCTACTGTGCTAATTGCTGGGAACACAAATACAAGCAGAAAGACAGCTGCCGCCCTCCAGGAGCTTGATGATGAAATGGTTGAATTGTTCAAATTTATACTGCGTGTTTCCATTGGGCTAGAACTACATAATAGCGTAAATCTGAAAATATGCAACTATTTCACAGATTTTTTCAAAACCCAGCAGTAAAAGGAACTTGAAAAAGGGAAGAGGGGAGGAAAAAGGTACTGGACTTAGCTCCAGATATGAAAGAGGAACTCTGGACTTCTGCCTGGAGAGCAATGACACTTGGCTGACCTGGAAACCTTCCTTAAATGGAGGTTCTAAGGGGAGCCATCCAATCAGAGGGAGCTGCCCAAGGGCAGAGATGTCCAGTGTGTGATTTCCAGGGCTATAGTAATGCTTCCAAGGATAGTTAGGAATTCAATAGGAAAAGATGATAATGGGAAATGGGGGGAGGATGGGAAGATGCTGGGATTGAATCCTAACTGTCACTAAGTGTGAGTGCTAGGTTTGAAGTTAGAGGGTCATAGATGGCATCACAGCACCACAAATCCAGAGCTGAAAGGAACCTCAGAGATAATCTGAGCAATGCCCTCAAGTCAACAAGCATGTATTAGTCACCCACTATGGGCCAGGCAAC